GAGCCCCGCGTCAGGCTCTGGGCTGATGGCTCAGAGCCTGGAGCCTGTTTCCGATTCTGTGTCTCCCTCTCTCTCTGCCCCTCCCCCGTTCATGCTCTGACTCTCTCTGTCCCAAAAATAAATAAACATTGAAAATAAAAAATAAAAAAAATAAACAAACATTAAAAATAATTTTTTAAAAAACAACATATAAATACTTAAAAGCATATATACATATGTATATGAACTTATTATAAGAGATTTATTATAGAGGTTGAAAAATCCCAAGATCTGCAGTTGACAAGCTAGAGACCAAGGAGAGAGCCAATGGCATAGTTCTAGCCCAAGTCTGAAGGCCTAAGAAACTGGAGAACCAACGGTATAAATTCCAATGTGAGTTACAGCCCAAAGGCAAGAGAAAACTGATGTCCCAGCTTGAAGACAGTCAGGCAGACAGAGCAAAATCTCCCTTCCCCCTCCTTTTTGTTCTATTTCAGACCTTCAATGGATTAGGTGAGACCCACCATTTTGGGGAAGGCAATTTGTTTCACACAGTCTACTGATTCAAATGTTAATCTCATCCCAAAACATCCTCACAGACACACGAAGGATAATGTTTAACCAAATATCTTGGCACCCCATGGCCCAAGCAAATAAATTATGTGACACATAAAATTAACCATCACAGAAGCCCTACCAGACTCAAGGTCACACAATGGAGCATCTCCAGCCGCCTGATGGAATTGAGTGCTGAGACCCCGAATTGATACTTAGACCGAGGCCAAGTGGGAAGAGGACCATGAAACATGGAGAGAGTGGGAAAAAAAGGTCGGAAGTGAGTAATGGAGCTATTAGAAATTATGATTAAGGTATATATTAGTATTTATAGACAGAGAAAGATGTCAACTCAATATTGTCAAGATAAAAGGATTAAAAGGCAGTATTTCACAATGTGTGTGAAATGATCTCATTTAAAAATATGTTGAGTGGCACCTAGATGGCTCAGTCGGTTAAGCGCCCAACTCTTGATTTCAGCTCAGGTCATGATCTCACAGTTTGTGAGTTTCAGCCCCGCATTGGGCTCTGTGCTGTTGGTGCAGAGCTTGCTTGGGATTTTCGCTCTTTCCCTCTATCTCTGCTCTCTCTCTCATAAACAAATAAGTAAAATAAAAATAAAAATATGTTGTGTGTACATGCGTTGGTGGAGGTACACACCCCTAGAGGAAAGTCTAGAAGGATAAGCACATATGTTAATTGCAGAGTTTCTCTGGGTGTTGGAATTCCAAGTGACTTACTTTCTTCCTTATGTCCTTCTGAATTATCTTTATTTTCACAGCTGGCATGCGTCATATGTATAAATCAGAAAAATCAATAAAACTATCCATTCTGGGGGAAAAAAAATCACATTACAAAATGCAAATGAGAATCTTGCCAATTCATCTTTTGCTTCCACTCTTGGGTAGTTAGTTCCTCACTGATCAAGCTCCTTGACACAACCCACAGGACCTTTCGCGATGTGGCTGGTACATGGGAACAGTAGCTCCTGACCGCTGTTCTAACAGAATAGCTTCCCACCTTGCACTGCCTCCTCTGGCAACCCTGAGCCAGCACATCTGGACACACCCTGCCAGTTGTCTGTGCAAGTCTTTGGCTCCCACTCTCCCTACTAATTCTTTCCCCCTCTTTGTAATGAATGATTACCCTCTACAAGACTCAGTCCAGGGACCTCTCTTCCCAAAAGTCATTTCTTGATCTCCCCGATCTGGGTTTAGTGCCCCTATGTCAGCCTTCCATTTATGCTTGATGCATATCTCTGTCACAGCGCCTTTATACTGAATTACGGGATGTGTGTGTACATGTCTTTCTTCACCATTGGATGTGTCTCTGTCCTCTGTTTCTCTCCAGGGTTCTCGTCCACAGCCAGGCTCAAAAACTTTTGGTCGACTAAATGGACTTTTTGAAGGATCTGTAAGAAGTGAAATCCAGGTTTTATTTTATCATGGTGGGTAATGGCAGGCCAGTGAAGATTTACAAAGGGAAGCTGTTAATACTCTAAATCACAATAGTAGCCCCTCTCCTCTCTTTCTTCTCCTGTTTTGCCTCCTGCTCTCCTTTTGTTTCCCCCTCCCATCCCCACACCCACCTTCTTCCTTTTCTTTCTAGAGAAGTGTTTCACAAATTTTGGTGAACGGAAGAATTGCCCGGGGAGCCAGCTAAATGCAGTTTCCCAGGTCCTTCTCACAGTTCAAATTTCTTAGATCAGGGATGGGGCCCAAGCATCTGCATCTTCACAAGTGTACTAGATGATTCTGTTCCAACTTTGAAAAATACCATCTTAGAAAATGTAGGATTCTTCATTTCCTTTGCCTACTAACGTTAACTAAGCGAGATGTGAGTGTGTTATCTACAACATTCTCCGTTTCCCGGTCACATTTCCTGATCCCGCAAACTCAAATCCATCTCACTGATTCAACGCATGTTCCAGGATAGAAAGCAGCTTTCGATGTGGCTTAGAGTGTGCACTATGGCTGAGCAGCTGACAACATCTCCCCAAGCCTTCAGCGCACCTGACTCACAAGTGTGACGACTTTGCCTTGTTACCTATATAACAACAGTAATTATGACCATCATCATACCCACTATAGCTGCCATTTATTAAGACCCTACTATGTACCAGACACTGTGCAAAGTGCTTTACTAGCATTATCTCACTTAAGCCTCATAGCTCCATGAGGCATATGCTATTATTATCCCCACTATACCAATGAAGAAGCTGGAATTAGGGAGGTTATGACCATGGCCACACACTCATAAGTGGTGGAGTCACCTGAACTCACCTGATCTAACTGCAAATCCCATGGTCTTCCCACTATGGCTCCTGCTAGATAGATATAGATGATTAATAGATAGATCCTATCTATCTAGGTGATTAATAGATAGATAAATGGGTGGACGGATGAATAGATTGATGGATGATAGATGGATAGATAGATCGATCGATCGATAGATAGATAATAGGATAAATAGGAAGGAAGGGGGAGAGAAAATGATAAAGGAGAAGACGGAAGAAGGAGGGAAATTGCTTTATGTAATGAACTTACTCTCTTTCAGGGCTTCTTTGAGAAGCAGAGGTAAAAATTCAGATTATTTCAGGATGCCAGATGGGTGTTTCTTAGCATGCAACGGTGCCTAGAAGAGGCTACGGAGTCACCTGGTTTTATAGGGGCCACTGGGAGATAACCCTACTAGCTTTCGCTGAGGTGGAGAAGGCCAATGAGATCACAGATACAAAATTATAATTGTTTTATCATTATGTTTCCTTTGGTTTTCCACTTGGATCTTAGTGCAGATCAGTTGTCCAAAGTTGTGAGCACCAAACAGCTTGGATAGCAAGGAAATCATAGAATTGTAGAGTGTTTGCTTAGGTCTTTAAGAAACATAGAGGTGGCACCTTACACGTGCTTCCAGTCAGCCAGCACAGTGCACTGCCCTCCTTCCCCACATGCTAAGACCAGGGATGAGGGGTATGCTTGTGCTTAGGGATATCACATACAGCCCAGGTTGGTTCGGTGCATCCTAGAAGCAAAGGGACCTGTGCCTCACACGAGGTGGTACCTGAGGAGATGGGGAGACAGTCTCCTCTCCCCACCCCCATGCACAGTAGGATAGGAGGGAGCAGCTTCAGAATAAAAATGACATATGACAAGGCTAGGCCAAGCGGGCTTCAGATAGCCCTATGGCGTCCCCCCAAAGCCTCCGAGTAGCTCAGGAGAGCCACAAAACACCTCCTGCACTTACAAGGAGGACACAGAAGCTAGCTGGAAGAGAGACAGCCAACGGTTCTACAGATGCCTCAAGATCGAGTTTAAACAAACAGACATAAACACCACATGACAACGAATGCCAGCACTTTCCAAATGTCTGAAAACCAGATGGGCTACACGTTTCAATAGCAGTCAGGATGGAAAGACCCATGAAGGCCATACGTGTCCTCTCCCTTTCTCTCTCTCTCTCTCTCTCTCTCTCTCTCTCTCTCTCTCACACACACACACACACACACACACACACACACAACTTTCAGTGGCTTGAACTTATATACAATCATGGAAAAAAAGGGACAGGAGTTCCCTGAGCCAGCTGAGAAAGCCTAGAATTGAATCGTTTCTACCACTGGAACGAATGAGGACCCAGGAGGAAATTTAATTGCAGTCATAAAAGAAGAAAGCTACCTTTGTTCAGCAGACTTGAATTTTGAGCTCCCAAATTCATACTCACTGCGAGTGTTTGTTGACTGAATGAATAAACAAATTGTATTGGGGAAAGAAATTCTGCTGCAGCCAGTTCCTGGTAGAACAGTGCTGGCTGTCCTCCAGGGAAAAGAGTAATTACTAAAAAGAGTATCTGCTTTCTAGTTCTTGCCCGGTGCTTATTATCTGTGGCTCCCTGAGTAGGTCGCAAGTTCCTTTAGGACTCATTTCCGTAAAATGGGCATAATGATGCCTGCCCTGCCTTCTTTATAATGTGACCATGAGAACAAAATGAGATAATGTATAGGAGGTTGCTTTACACAGATTATAATAAGGGCCTGTGGATCACCTCTGTCTTGTGATTCCAGAAGCAAGAAGAAAGTAAATGAACGCAAGGATCAGAGCTCTGGGGTAACCATCTTCTCAACCAAAATGCTTTTCTAGAACTGATAAGGAACAGTGACTATGTCTTCCCTGTAGCCGCAGCAGAGCTAACTGGATGCTATAAAGGATTCTGCTCTCTATATAAGAGAGTACAGTTCACCAGAAAGAAATTCTCAGGGCACAAAACAGATTTATTTTCATTGTGAAATAGTCTGCCTGCCGTGCAACAACAAATTAAGCTCGGGGTGACTATTCCCGTAAAACACGTCCTGTGCGTAGCACTGCTATTATGGGGTGGACCGACATGGTAAAGAATCAATTAAAACTCTGACACATCCAAAGGAGCTCGAAGACCTGTTTCACAGGTTTTCCCCGGAGGAAAATAATCATGCTGCATTATACTTTGGAAGCCGATCGAGGCGAGATTTCGGAGACAAGTTCTGGGGTTTACAAGACAGACTTCAGCTTTTCCAAAATCACTTTTGAAGTGCTCTTTAAAGGATTATAGCATTCAATTCTCCATCAGTCAGGCGGCATCATGGTGGAGCAAGAGGGATTATTGTCAGGCGGACAGACTCCGGAAAACCGTAAGTTCCCTTAAAATTAACAAAGCACTTAAAGGGATGGTGGAAATATTGCAGTGTGTATATTCATGCCCATTTTGAAATGAAAGCAAAGGTTAAGCAGGAAAAATCGGAGGGATAATAAAGCTGAATATCCTTGCTATTTTTATAATAGCACTATGCCACCAAAGGGGTGCTCATTGTTTAGAAACACAGTTTGAAAAGTTCTAGAATTTCAAGAAGAGCCTCCCTTCCCCACCAAATATATATATATATATATACACACACACGTATATATGTGTGTGTATATATATACACATATATATGTGTGTATGTATATATATACACATATATATGTGTGTGTATATATATATATACATATATACATATATGTATATATATATATATACACACACACACAAACATACAAACACACACACATATATGAACGAGAGGGTTAATAGTAGAATGTGAATAATGTTTGTGGTCACACTGCTTAAACTATGTTTCTATGACAGCAAGTAGGAATGTTCACTTAACGTTCACCTTAAGAACAACATGTTTTCCGGCAAATTCAGACATCTGTGTAAACCATCTTCAGCCTCAGTGCCTGAATAACTTCTGTGCCTCAACCTGAACAAAGAGAAGAGATTTTGAGGTTCAGGCAGTATATTTGCAGAAGCGTGGCCTACAAATGAGCTTCACAGAAAGAAAGAACTCAGTAAGACCAAAGCAAGGCAAGCGTCAGCAGTGACCATTGCTGAGGGACAGGTTACGGCCTGTCAACGCAACAGGCGTGTCAGGAAATGGCTGGGGGACTCGGCTAACCCCCAATTTTGCAGGCTAAGTCAAAAGCAAAGAACTAGAGAGAAAAGACAACATGAGGGTACAGTGTAAATGTTACACTTTCAAAACACTTCCCGGGGAAAGAGAGAGAGACAGAAAGAAAAGGAAACCCAGAGAGTAAGGACAAGACTAAGCCTGCCCATTGACATGTTCGGCATGGGTTCAGAACGGGATGTTTTCAGAGGAAATGCTCTCATGGTGCAGGAATCCGTTTGGTTAGGAAAGCAAAAACATTTGACAATTCTGTCATGAAGTCAACCCACAATATCTTTTCTTTTTAAGGATGAGGAGGTGAGAAGGAGATTGGGCACTCCCTTTTTAACCAAGTATACTACTCACTATAATTTTTCATAAAGAAAGAACTTTTGTTCTTTTCTTGCTTCTGTGGTTACCTCAACCTTTAAGCTCTCCTTTATGGCTTGAAAAAAATATTTTTTACAAAATAATATGTACTTCGTGCACTCATGCTTTCTTAATCTTTGCAGAACAGAGGTCTCTCACAGCCACTGAGGGAGGTTCAGAATGTGCTGGAATCTTGGAATCCTGGGGTTCTGCCAAGATCCTCGGGGCTGCAGGGATAAAGGGTGCCCTGCATTCTGGCCTCCGCCTCAGCTCTCTGTCCTCAAACACATACCCCAAGCTGCATACCCCGGCCCCACGGGGCTTTCCCCTGTGAGTTCATAGGAAAAACAAAGTTTCCGCTGCTTTAAAGGAAACCAAAAAATGGAATATCACTAAAATATGCAATCTTTTCATTTGATAGGGGAATTTAACTTCCCAGAGAAGCGTAATGAGTTAGATAAAGGCAAAGCAGCCACAGAAGCCAGGCATACGGATTACTAGTTCTATGACGCTGGTGTTTCTCTCCCTTTGTCCAAATGAGCTGGTAAGCTCCTCTGTGCCTCACCCACCTTCCACCTCCGCTTAGCTCATTACTTGTATTCAAAGCTTCCCCACCGACACCACCTTTTCCTCAAGGATAAAACTGTGTCTCATCCCTCTGTAGTCAATCCAATTCCACAAACATTTTATTAAGCACCTTCTCTGGGAAGCCCTATACCAGCCCACCTGCGAGTCACAGAAGAATAAGACATCAACCCTACCCTCAGATACGTATACAGCCTGTTACAATTAAAGGCGTCTTCTAATGATACTATGACAGAAATTCTCTTGAATATATTGTAGCATTGAAACACGAGAGAGAAGAGGAAAACAGTCTGGCAGTTTCTCAAAACATTAAATGCAGAATTATTATTATACGGCCCAGCAATTCCACTTTCAGGGATACACCCAGAAGAATTGAAAACGGGCCCTCAGACAAATACACGTATATGGGTGCACTATTTACAAGAGCCAAAAGATGGAAACAGTCCAAATGTCCATCAACAGATGAATGAATGAACAGAATGTGGTATATTCATTCAATGGAATATTATTCAGCCACTAAAAAGGCATGGATTTCTAATGCTGCCACCACACAGATGAACCTCTTACAGGGGCACCTAGGTGGCTCAGTCAGTTAAGCTCTTGATTTCAGCTCAGGTCATGATGTCACTGTTCAAGGGATCAAGCAGAGCCTGCTTGGGATTCTCTCTCTCCCTCTAGATCTCTGCCCCTCCCCCCTCACACACTTATGTTCTCTCTCTCTCTCTCTCTCTCAAAATAAATACTTAAAAAATACTGTATTACAGAAAAGAAGCTAGACACAAAGGTCACATATTGTATGATTCCATTTATATGAAATATTCAAAGTAGACCCATCCATGGAGGCAGAAAGCAGAACGATGGTGACTAGGGACTGGGGGTGGGGGTGGGGGGAGGACAATGGAGAGCAACCTGCTTAAGGTGATGAAAATGTTCCAAAACTAGACAGTAGGGATGGTTGCACAACATTGTAAACGTACTAGTGCTAATGAATTGTTCAGTTTAAAATTGTTCAATTTAAGTTTATATTATGTGAATAAGGGGAGGGCTCTGAAGAAGCCGGGAGGGAGCCAGGAAGCAAGCTGATAGGACCCATTGAGGATAGTCTCTGGCAAGCCTGGGATGCCTTTGGAATTCACCCTGGGAGAAGTGGAATAGCCAGTGAAATGGATACCCGGGTCCATTTGGGGGCACCCGGGTGGCTCTGTCAATTAAGTGTCGGCTAAGGTCATGATCTCACGGTTGGTAGCTGTGAGCCGCACACCAGGCTGTGCGCTGATAGCATGAAGCCTGCTTGGGATTCTCTCCCTCCCTCTCTTTCTGCCCCTCCCAAGCTCTCTTGCTCTCTCTTTCTCCCCATCTCTCTCTCAAAAAAAAAAAATAATAATAATAATAATAATAACTTAAAAAATTCAAAACAAATAAGCTGGACATTTTGAGTGGGTGGCTAATACCAGAAGGGAGGGTCTGGACCCCAGGAAACAGCATGTGGAGGCCACTGGCCCAGTGAGAGATCATAATGAATGTACCAGGATGTAAACTCCCTGCCTGATCATGTTCCAGCTAAGTGATTGCAATGATCTTCCACTAAATTTGAACTCAGAAATAGTAACCGGGAAGAAAAGTTGTGGGTCTTTTTTTAAACACCTTAAGCTCCTATTTTTGCATATCCTACTGCCTTTGGCATCCAACAGATTTTAGCGTAAAATTAACCTGCTTCCTCTTTCTCTAAAGATTACTCATAAAGACCTGTCTTTGAGCAAATACCTCACCAAAGAATGGTTCGTTTTGATGAGAGCAAATTGCAGTCTGAAAATAGGTTTAGAAAAGGAGGTAGGATCCAAAATTAATACATTTTTTGGCCCAGTCTCAATTTCAGCCACTTGACTGTGTTAAGAAATATTACATGCTATAATTTAAGTGGCCAGTGGGATTGCTTTGTACAAAGAATAAAACTTTGAATGAAAACAGAATGAAAATCTTATCTACACCATGCTCATCTAAGTACTAAGTTCAATGTCACCTGTGAGAACACTACAGAACCTATCTAACCAAACTTTAGAGGGAATTCAAAAGATCTCAATCTTGTAGTCGGTGTATCTGCCAGTCAGCTTCCCCTTGTCTGTTTAGAGTGACCAACTGTTCTCAGGAAGCCCTAGGATCGAGAGTTTCCCAGACCCCAGACTTGCAGTACTGAAATCAGAACATTTGGGACTGGCTTTCACGTCCACCAAAACCTCTTCCAAAATTCTATCTTTGGTGCTGGATCATTTCCACTTGGGAAAAAAAAAAAAAAACAGCAGCAAGAAAGAAGAGAGAGGAAGAGGTGGGCATCATGCGGCATCCAGAACGTGGAAAGTAATGTATTCAAAGAGGGAAAATGCAGGAAGTCAGCAGGGTGCAAGGTGCAATGCATTCAACGTGATCCCTCAGACTCAGACTTCACACCTGCTTGCCATGACCATGATGTGACTTTCAGGCAGGTTGCAAGGGAATGTTTTTTCACCTTCTAAATCACTCGCTGAGCAAATGCCTACTGAGGTCCTTAAAATGACCAGGCTTGGGATCAGGTGTTGGGATCTGGAGAGGAAGATGTGTTAGGTTGGCCTCCGGAGATGCTCACAGGCTAGAGGCCAAGTAGAGGGGGGTGAACCGGGTGACAACCAAGTAATCAGTCATCAGAGTTCCCAGCTTCTAAGAGCGAGACATTTATATTATCTGTCATTCTCACAAGTACACCTCAGGGTAGGTAATACTATCCCCATTTTAAAGATAAAAGATAAAAACTGAAACTCAAATTGGTGGAACTTGCTCAGGGTCACCCCACTAGGTGTGGGGCAGAGGCAGGCTGTAACCCAAGATTTTGAGCAAGGTTCCCTTTATTCCCAAAGCTCTGCCCATTCTACTATTCTCAGGCCCCTTTCAGTGTGACCAGGGTTAAGATCAAGGTCATTCCGATTTCTGACCTTACTCCAGCCTGCCTTAGCCTTTCATCAGAGAGCAGCTGTATCTACACTTTGAACTGATAGAGAAATTGCTGGATAGCTGGATGGCTAAGGGAGCCTGGATGGCTCAGGTGGTTAAGCATCTGGTTCTTGATTTCAGCTCAGTTCGTGACCTCATGGGTCATGGATTTGAGCCCCACATTGGGCTCTGTGCTGACAATGTGAAAGCTGCTTGGGATTCTCTCTCTCCCTCTCTCTCTGCCCCTCCTCTCTTTGTGCACTCTCTCTCTCTCTCAAAATAAATAAATATTTTTTTTTAAATATCCATACTAATGGCAGAGGCAGAGTAGAAGTAGGAAAAAGTTAGATATTTATGTTCAACTAGCAGACAACTGGAAATTGCTATTAGAGGTTGGATCCAGATGGCATTCAGAGAGGAAAACACAATGCCTCAACGCCATTGGAATTGGCACTGATTTGCTTGGATAAGACACCAAAGTCACAAGCAACAAAAGAAGAAACAGGCAAACTGGACTTCATCAAAATGAAAAACTTTTATGCATCAAAGGACACCATCAACAGAGCGACAAGGTAGCTGATAGAATGAGAGGAAATATTTGTAAATTACATCTGCTAAGGCACTGATATCCAGAATATATAAAGAACAACAAAAACGCAAACAACCAGATTCAGGTAAAGTCCTAGAATAGACATTTCTCCCAGGAAGATATACAAATGACTAATAAGCACATGAAAAAAAGGCTCGACATCACTAATCATTAGGGAAATGAAAATCAGAACTTTGATGGGATACCACTTCATATCTGTTAGGATGGCTATTATCAAAAACAAAACAAAACACAACTAAGAAAATAATAAGTGTTGGCAAGGATGTGGAGGAATTTGAACCCTTGTGCATAGTTGTAATGTAAACTGGTACAGCTGCTGTGGTCGCTCAGTATGGTGGTTGCTCAGTATGGTGGTTGCTCAGAAAATCAAAAATAGAATTACTACATGATCCAGCTATTCCACATCTGGCTATATACCCGAAAGAATTAAAAGCAGGGACATGAAGAGATATTTGTGCACCCATGTTCACAGCAGGATTATTTACAATAGACAAAAAGTGGAAGAAACCCAGGCATCCTTGATGGATGAATGGAAAAACAAAATGTATATACATACAACAGAGTATTATTCAATCTATTCCAACATAAAATTTGAAAGGAAATTCCAACATAAAATTTGAAGACATTATGCTAAGTGAAATAAACCAACCACCAAAAAGACAAATACAGGGGCACCTGGGTTTCTCAGTCTGTTAAGCAACCGACTTCGACCCAGGTCAGGATCTCACAGTTCATGGGTTTGAGCCCTGCATCAGGCTCTGTGCTGACAGCTTAGAGCCTGGAGCCTGCTTCAGATTCTGTGTCTCCCTCTCTCTCTGCCCCTCCCCCATTTGCAATTTGTCTCTCTCTCTCTCTCTCTCTCTCAAAAATAAACATTTTGAAAAAAAAAATAAGATAGCAGAGACCCTGGGTAACTCAAGCCGGTTGAGCACCCAACTTTGGCTCAGGTCACGACCTCAAGGTTTGTGGGTTCGAACCCCACATCGGGCTCTGTGTTGACAGCTCGGAGCCTGGTGCCTGCTTGGGATTCTGTGTCTCCCTCTCTCTCTGCCCCTCCCCCACTCACACTCTCTCTAAAAAATACACAAACATTTAAAAAACTAAAAAAAAAAAATAGTTAAGATAGTAACTTTTATGTCATATAAATTTTACCACGATTAAAAATAAAAATCTATTAGAACACAGGAAATCAAGAATGGGGGCTATAACCCACCAGAAACTATCAGGAATTTCTGAATGAGAGAAAGTAGTTGGGATTGGACTGAGAAAGAGGAAGGAAGAAATCTTAGCTTGAAATGCTTGCAAGCATCCTGCAGTGGAAACAGTGAAGGTGAAGGAAGAGAGGGATCGTCCAGGAAATGAACTGAGGTTCTCTGCAAGACAGCAGTCCTCAAACTCAACGGGGCATCACTGTCACCAGGAGCATGGGTCCAAGTATAGATTGCTGCACCTCGTCCCCAGAGTTTGTCTGGGGTGAGACCTGACAATTTGCAATTCCAGTAAGTTCCCAGGTGATGCTAATACTGCTGGTTTAGAGACGGAGATTTGAGAACCACTTTGAGAAGCAGTTAGACCTGTCAGCACTTCCTCCTCCTTCACTGTAATGAGTGACAGACAGCAGCATCTCTCCCAGGTGGAAGCACTGAGTGCAGATTCTGAAGCCCCAAATTCATAGAAAACTCAAGGGGTGGGGTCCAAGAACCTCCGCGCTGGAGGACAACCATGAGCGCATAATCCATCCCCCCCACAGTGATGGGAAGCGACTTGAACCATTAGCCTACCAGGGACTTCCAACGTCAAAGAAGAGTGGGCAGCCAAGAACATTTGAGGAAAGCCAACACTGGGAGAAGAGCAACAATGTCAAGAAAGAGTATTAATACACAAGGAAGTAGAGTTAATCAAACAGACACTAAAATATGTATAATTAATAAACTGTCAGATTCTAGAGACACACAAGGATGAAGGGAGAAGATAAAGAAGGAAGGGAAAAAGAGTCTGTTATACACATACACATATATTTATATATGTATTTATATATATGTTTATATATAAATACATATATATTTATATATATAAATACATATATATATACACATATATATACATATATATGTATATATAGTGAAAATAAACATCCAGCCTTCCAGAAGGCTCCCTGTTGCCAGAGACAATCACCATTCTGCCCTTCATCACCATAGATTTGTTTTGCCTTCTTTTGAACCTCATACAAATGGAATCAGAGATCACGTCCACGTCCTCAATTGCATCCAGCTTCTTTAATTCGAATTTATGTCTATGAGATTCATCCTCCTTACTGTGTGTGGCAGTAGTTTGTTCTTTTTCATTGATAGTTTTCCATTGCATAAATACATCACAAGTTATTTTTTATTCTACAGTTACTGGATATTTGAGTTGTTTTCAGTTCGACTGCGAAGAATCTTCACATACATGTCCTTTGATGAACATAGGAATGTGCTGGTCTTTGGTATTCACAAAGTGGCATGTTTGGGTATAAGATCTACTTACATTCAACGTTAGTAAATACCGTCAGCTTTCCAAAATGCTTATAACAACGAGAATTCCAGTTGCTCTATATCCTTCTTAATGCTAGGTTAATACTTTTAATTACATCAAGTGATGGGGGGAGGATAGACCATCACGTGGGGGGCTCTTTCCCAGTTTTACTGAGAAATAATTGACAGATTCAATTTTTGAAAAAAAGGAAGGAAAGAAAAAAGGTCAGAAAATGTTTCTCCTTGTGACGAGAACACTTAGGATCTACTCTCTTAACATCTTTCCTATACATCCTACAGCAGAATCTGCTACAGTCCTCATGTTGTCTACTGCATCCCTAGTATTTATTTATTTTATTACCGAAATTTGTATCTTTTGACCCCCTTCTTCCAGTTCTCCCTCCCCCCACCCTCCACCTCTGGTAACAGGTCTGATCTTCTTTTCTATGAGTTTGCTGTTATTGTTTTTCCTTGTTAATAATTTTTTTGATTAATAGACTTTTTCCTGAGCAGTTATAGTTACAGAGTTCCTATATACCCCTTCAGAGGATCATGAAGTTTTAATTTGCATTAGCCAAATGAATAATGATATTGAGCATCTATTCATAAGCAATTGATATTCAGATATCCTCTTTTGGGCAACAATCATTGCAGTCTATTTTTAAAATTAGATTGTATGGCTTTTTCTTATTGATTTGTAAAAGCTCTTTATATATGCTGGCTATAAGTCTTTTGTCAGATATATGTGTATTGCTAATATTCTCTACTAGTCTGTGGTTTGCCTTCTCTGTTAATGGTGCTTTTGATGAACAGAAGTCTTTCATAATAATAACATCCAATTTATCAAGCTTTTCTCTTATGGTTTATACTTTCTGTATCCTATTTTAATAATCTTTGCATACCCCAAGACCATGAAGATATTTTGCAATGCTTCCTTTTAGAAGTTTTATTATCTTTCATATTTATATCTGTGGTCCATCATTAATGTTTGTGTATGGTGTGAAGAATCCAGTTTCTTCTTTTTTTCTTTACTGAAAAGTTGATGCTTTCCTCCATTGGCTTCCTGTAAAACATCTGTCATAAATCAAGTGACCATGTATGGATGGGAGTGTTACTGGACTCTGTTTTATTTCATTGGCCTATTTGTTTATCTATGTATCACACTGTCTTAATTTCCGTAGCTTTATAACAATCTTACAGCTGGTAGTGGAGTCCTCAGCTTTGTTATTCTTCAATATTGCCTTGGCTGTTCTAGGTCCTTCCATGTAAATTCTACAACAAACTTGCTAATAGCCACTTTAAAAAAATTTCCTGACATTTTATTGAGTTTGCATTAAGTCTGTAGGTCCATTTAAGGGAAATTAATATATTGTCCATATTGTGTCTTCCAATTCATGAACATGGTTTATCCCTCAATTTATTTCATTATTCTTTAATTTCTCTCAGGAATGTTTTACGGTTGGCAGTGTACTGGTATTCAAAATCTTTCATTAGATTCATTCATTTGTGTTTTGTTATTATAAATTATTTTTAAAACTTTTTATTTCCTAGTTGTGTTGCTAGTAAATAGAAGTACTAATGTGTTTTGTAATTGTCCTTGTATTCAGCTCCCTTGCCAATTTACTTATTTAATCCTTATAGATTATATTAGATTTCCTTATATTTAAACATACAATCTGTGAATGTTTTATTTCTTTCTTTCCAAAATTCATGCTTTTTTAAAAATGGCTTAATAAAGGGGCACCTGGGTGGCTCAATTGGTTTAACATCCGACTTCGGCTCAGGTCATGATCTCATGGTTCATGGGTTCGAGCCCCACGTCGGGCTCTGTGCTGACAACAGCTAGGAGCCTGGAGCCTGCTTCGGATTCTGTGTCTCTCTCTCTCTCTTTCTGCCCCTCCCCCACTCACACTATGTCTCTCTCTCTCTCTCTCTCTCAAAAATAAATACGCATTAAAAAAATTTTAATGGCTTAATAAAGTATAGTTTACATAAAATAAAATTCACCTTTTTTCAGTGAGTTTTGGCAAATGTATACAGTCATATAACCACAATCAAGATGTAGAATATTTCTATCAGCCAAAAAGTCTTCTCAGTGCCCCTCTGAACAGAAGATTGGGAAATAAGTCATATTACTAGCCCCTTCCTGGGCAAAGAAAGAAAAGCTTGCATCAAGTAGCATGGAGTTACAGGACACAAGGAAGCTAGATTCTCCAGAAGAAGAACAGTGGGAGGTGAAGCTTCTCCATAAAGTTGTTCCTGAATCCTGCTTGCACACTAAAATCAGCTCTTAGAATACTGCTGCCTGGACTCAGCCCCCAGAGAGAGCCTGACATGCTTCATCTGCAATGGACTCCAGACACTGTGTATCTTTTCAAATAGACCCTCGAGGGGATTCTCATGTGCAACCAAGGCTAAGAACTATGAGGCTAAAGGCAGTCATCTTTGCAGGTGGAGGACAGCTTCTTTTAACTGTAAAAACCGTATAACTGTCACTAGAGGAAATTATCTAAGAGGAGAAAAAACATACACAACCCTGTCTTGCACAGCAAATACTCTTGACATGCAGACATTTTTGCACAATTCTATTCATTACGATTTTACTTCTTCATTTACCATTTATTATGAACTTCTTGTTTATATCCCTTCCTAGAGAGGCCGTGTAGGGTAGCGGTTCTGAGTGTGGGTTTTGGAGTTAGACAAAACTGGGTTAAAATCTAAGATTGTTTTACTTGCAAGGTGTGGATCTCCAGCAAACCCCTTAACATACTTGAACCTCATAGACTCCAGCTGGGAAGTAAGAATAACAGTACCTGCCTCATAGGTTCATTCTGAGGATTGATGTTTGTGAAGATACAATAGCAGAACACTTGGCTTTCAAATAATGGTAGCTGTTATTACCATTGGAACAACTGAAGTTACCCACTGAGTGGAATGATATTCTAGGGAGATAAATGTGAATAGACCAAGGGCTTGGGAGATAAAGGAAGGGATCTCATTCACCCTCAGCAACAATGACTCAGGCACCATGGAGAATGAGTTGTGGCAGTGGCTGTGTGTGTGTGTGTGTGTGTGTGTGTGTGTGTGTCCGTGTATAAAGAGCTGGGATCCCAGGCCTATATAGGATTGAGTTACCATGGTTGAGCATAATTCTAGGACAGGGAGAATTCAAGAGAGCCCTTGGATCACTTGTCTCAGTGGCAGCATCAGACATCAACAAGAGCCATAAAGAATGGAATGTACAAGCCATTTGAGCAAATTCTCTTGTTTTCTCTCCTTGAGGCTGGAAAACCAGACTGACTCCAAGGAGGATGGAGGAAACATCCCTGGGAGTCTCGGACTTATCAAAGGAGAGCAGGCCCTGAGAAGGGAAGAAAAGCATTCTCATGTCAGGTGGGTGGGGTGGGAGCACCAGGCCATTTAATTTGTTAAAACTAATAATAATATAAATCTACAGAGAAGACTATTCCAGGCATTTTAATTAACTTAATTAATCATTTACTCCTCACAACAATCCCATGAAGAAAGTACTGTTATTATCCCCGTTTTACAGTTGAGGAAACTGAGGCACAGAGCGGTTACGTAAACTTGCCCAAGGTCATACAGGAAGGGGTAGAGTCAGAACCGAAAACCCAGAGACCATGCTCTTAATTAGCAGTGTACCCCAAGCCGATGAGGTGGGACATTAATTATACTATAATGAATTTTAAATTGTTTTGGGGAAGATACCATCTCATAATTTGCTCAACTATCCCCTTCTCATTTCGTACTTTCCACTTTCAGCTGTAGTAAAATCTTCATGCATATAGCTTTTCACTTCTGTTGAACTATCTCCCAGGATTACTTCCTGTGAATGGCATTACTTGGTCCAAAGGGATAAACTATATTATAGTTGTTGCTACATATGGTTGTAGTGTTTACCAAACAGGCTGCACCAGTCGACAGTGTCACTGGCAGGGTGTGAGGACTTTCACCACCACTTCACGCAGCATGGTTAGAATTCTTTGTGTAAATGAATATGCATTTGGAAAAAAATTTTTTTTTAATTCGAGAACTACAAAAGCTGGAAATCTGCAGCAGAGACTTGTTAGTCAGCTGCACTTCTGGGAGTTTCCCTTTAGTCACCTCACCTGACCTTGAACCATTGTCCTCCAACAGGCCAGTCCTGGACTTCCAAACTGTCTGGAACTTTGGAAGGTGAGGGTACGTGCACTTTGGTCGTTCATCTACTGCATACACTGAATGCCACAATATTTTGGCTAGGTTGTCTTTTTTTTTTTTTTTTAATTTTAAAATTTACTTTAAGAGAGAGAGAGAGAGAGAGCACATGCTCATGTGCTGGGGAGGGGCAGAGAGAGGGGAGAGAGAGAAGCTCAAGCAGGCTCCACGCTGACAGCATGGAGCCCGATGGGGGGCTTGGACCCACGAAACACGAGATCATGACCTGAGCAGAAACCAAGATTCCAACGCTTAACAGAATGAGCCACCCAAGCGCCCCTGGGTAGGTTTTCTTTTCCATTTCACAAGCTGGCTTTCCTGCACAAACTGGGATGATGTTTAGGCCAGGCTAGCTGTCCCCTTGCTCACTGAAATCGGCACTTCTCAGACTTCACGTGTCTACAAAACACCTGAGATCTTGTTACAGTGAAGATTCTGACTCAGTGCATCTTGGGCAGGGCCTGAGAGCCCAACAAATCCCAGGTGATGTTAACACTGCCAGTCCTAAGAACTTAGCCTCCTTTATTCCTTAGATAAACCAGACAGCAAAGAAAGCCCAGACAATCCAAATCAGAACCCTCTAACTCCAGCTCTGCCTCTGACAGCCTGTAGGACCTCTCCGAGCCTCCATTTCCCCATCTGTACAATAGAAGGATGAGATTAGACACTTGCTGAGTCCCTTCTAGGATTTTCATTTCTTTCTTAGATTTCTTCAGCCCATTCATGTTATTTTCACGTAGTATTTACTCAAAAAACAATATTTAAGCTCCAAGGATGAGCACAGACAGGGACGTTTTTAAATACTAGTGATGTAAGGATGAACAAGATAGACACAGTCCCTGCTTTCATGGGAGCACAAGTCCAGTGGGGAAAACAAGCAAATTAGAGTTGGAAATGGTTTGGTAGGTGTTTTGGTAGGAAAAGCTCGGGATGCCGTGGGAACAAATAGAAAGCAGATCTCACACAGATCAGTGAGAATCAGAGGAGAGTTCCCAAAGGAAATCATTACTGGAAGGAAAGAGGTATGATCCAGAAGAAGCTGGATCAAGGGAGGTGATCGTGTTCCAGGCAGAGGAAGGCGTGGCAAAGTCCTGGGGTTCACCGGTTCCAAACTCAGAACTTCCCCGACTCATGCTCAACCTTTCTGCAGAGGGCTGCCTCTTGTCAGTTCATACATTCTTCTCTCCATTTGTCTTCCCTTCAGTATGACTGAGCTGAGGGCCTTTGTGCCACATGCTCTCCCAAAGGGGCAGGAAGAGAATATAAAAGCGAGTAACACCAGGCATTGTGCTTAAAAATACCAACATGTCAGGCACCTGGGTGGCTCAGTAGGTTGGGCATCCAACTTCTGCTCAGGTCACAATCTCACTGTTCATGAGCCCTGCATCAGGCTCTGTGCTGACAGCTCAGAGCCTGGAGCCTGCTTCAGACTGTGTCTCCTTCTCTTTCTGCCCCTCCCCTGCTTGCGCTCTGTTTCTCTCTCAAAAACAAATAAAACATTTTAAAAATTAAAAAAAAAAAAAAGATCAACATGTCAACAAACAACCACCACACAACGTGAGGCAGGTAATAATACAGGTGGCACCGCGTGTGGGTACGGAGGCTTCGGGAAACAATTGAAATTGCGTGGGCAGGACTTCTAAGTCTTTGAAGGGATGGAACAGGACTGGCCCTTGCTTCCTGTTATGGACTTTTAGTGCCCTTGGCTGCTCACCCCTTGTTTAGATTGGGGCTGCCTCTCCTTTCAAACCACACCACCAGCAGTATTGCAATTGGACAGGAGAGGGCGCAAAAAGACTGCACTTGATGCAAACTGCCCAGTACTTGGCAATTTGAAAGGAAAGCCTTTTCGGGAAGGCTTAAGGCAGATGAGGAAATAGATGAAACCCAGAGAGGGGAAGAGATGTGCCCAGGATAACACAGCTGCTCAGTAGCAGAACAAGCACATTCCACCAGGCCCACGCAATTTACTCTGCAATGCTCTAAATTTTCTAAAACTCTCAATTTGTATAATTTAGGATGCTTCTAGAAACAGTATTCTTTTTCTTTTTCCTTTTTTTTTTTTTTTTTTTTGCTGTAATGTAGAGGCATAATTCTGTTTATAAACCTCTTACAAATACAGTATATACAAGTGCTTTCCCTTTCTTCCTAAATCTGCAGTTGGTGTTGTTTTCCCTGGGGAAAGTGCAGTGGTTCAGAGCACAGGCTCTGGAATAAGTCTGAGTTTGAAGGCAAGCTCTGCCTCTTCCCCGTATGAGCTGGATGCATTGCTTAACCGCCTCTCTGGATCCTAATCTTTCTAATCAGGCAACGATCACACACATACCTCCAGAAGCCGGGTTAAGTGAGTTGTCAGGGTTAAGTGAGTTGACGGAAATGAGGTGTTCTGACAATTCCTGGTCAGGAGCAATCACTCCATCAACATGGCTCTTATTTTCAATCTGCTGCTTGAGTAGCATTGGTCAGCCACCACATGCTGTGCCTGTGCAGGTGAAGAGCCCGGCCATGTATACTCTAGCCCATGGAATCAACAGGCTTATTCGGGTTCAAGTCCCAGTTCTGTCCTGTCATTTATGGGCCGTGCCAACATGATGAGCAAGCCCCTTCACTGCCCTGGGCCACAGGTTCTTCATTCCTCAAATAGGGCTGATAATATCACCATTATCATTACTACTTCTGCTAATGCAGCAAGAATTCCTGTTGCTTCTGTTCGGCAAATATTTTCTCGTGCTCTATTATGCTCTAGGCCCAGTGCTGTGTCCTGGAGAGAAAGAGACAAATAGGTCAAAGCCACAGGCCTGAGGATCTAGTACTCAAGTGGGCTAGACAGGCTGGTGATCATGCAAATTACCAAAGACTAGGATGAAGACAAAGAAGAAGCATTGGTTAGGGAGTTCCAGGACGTCTTCCTGCAGAAAGTAAAATCTCGGTTGGCTTTTGAAGGCTGAATAAGAGTTTGCCAGACTCACCTTCCTTTAAAGTCAATGGAGATAGTTTGTGGAATCAGGAGTCCCAAATGGGAGGTCTGTTGTATATAACAGCCAGAGTTTTTCTTTTGACTTAACCTCATGGACCCCCCACCCCTTACTCCGTGCAATCTCCCTCTTTTCTCCTAGACAACCCTCTGAGGGTAGGCTGTGAGGTAACCTGCTTCAGAAGGAGAGGAGCCCACGGGGCGCCTGGGTGGCTCAGTCGGTTGAGCGGCTGACTTTGACTCAGGTCATGATCTTGTGGTCTGTGAGTTCGAGCCCCGCGTCAGGCTCTGTGCTGACAGCTCAGAGCCTGGAGCCTGTTTCAGATTCTGTGTCTCCCTCTCTCTGACCCTCCCCTGTTCATGCTCTGTCTCTCCCTGTCTCAAAAATAAAAATTAAAAAAAGTTAAAATGTTTAAAAAAAAAAAAAAAAAAGGAGAGGAGAGGAGAGGAGCCCAAATCATGGCAGTTGGGAAAGAATAGGAGGTCCCCAGTCCACAGAGAACACCTGGAGGCAGGGGTACCCTAACTAGCACCTGTTCCAAGGGGAGCATCCCACATCTCAAACCTCTGAGGCAACCCTCTTGCACACCTTCCAGCAGAGTGGACACAAAGCTCCCTCCAGGCAGCCATTCATGTCATGATTCTGTCTCTGCCTGAAGTGTCCTCTCTCATTCTTTTCCTGCCCACCCGAATTCTACATGTCCCCTTTTTCTGGGAAGCCTTTGTTGCCTGCCCGTCCTAGCATAGATGTCTCCCCTGCACTTCCAATGTTACCCTGAGCTACCACACCATCACCCTGTATTCTGGGGCTCTGCCTCCCGTTAGGCTGTGAACCCTCTGCAGGCTGGTACAGTGTCTAAGTCACTTTCTGTATCCCCAGCTTCTGGCACAGAGCCTGGCTCAGAGGACCTCGCTCAGTAAATGTTTGCTGAATTGAATTAAACTGAACTGAACTGGGCCCAGAATTCCTGACCCTTTCCAGTCAATGTTTTTGTTTTCCTGTCTTGGCAGGAAGCAGAGGGCACACTCAAGGCGGTAATTGGAGAGCATGTAATAAACAAATTATTTAGACATCTGGATAGAGTTAGGGGAAATAAAGATAACGAAGCACCCAGAGGCTAGCTGTGATGGATGGCCGCTACTACCCCAGGCCTGCAGGGGTAAAGGAA